TGGTGGCCGAGGGGGGGATGTAGCTCTGCGAGCGCCGCAGCAGCGGGTGGGCAGCCCCCACCTCACTGCCCTCCCCTCCGTCCCCACCGTTCTGTGAGCAGAGAGAACAGAGTCACTGGGAGCAGGGAGGGGAATTCCCTGCTGGAATGCAGGACACCCAGCTGCAGGGAAAAGCCACCTGATGCAATATGTGAGCCAAGGGCTACCGGCGGCACTGGACACTGGCAGGGAATGAGCCAGAGTCCAGAGCTGATGTTCTCTCACTGCAGGCAGCTTTCCAGGCTGCTGCCTTGGTACTCTTCACCCTTTTGGCACCCACATGTTAAAAAAATCAGAAAGGCTACAGAAAAGCAAGAGAAAAATCTCTTGAAGCGGGGGAGTTAAGGGAGCTCATCTGTCTGGCTCATCACACACTGAGAGGTGACTCAACTGCACCACTGCAGGTACGAGGAGAACAAGAGCCACCAGACAAACCCAAGTTAGAAAGCAGGGATGTTTTCCAGCAGAAGAAGGCAATATATCATGGGAATAAACTGCTCAGGAAAGCCATACAGTCTCTGCTCCACATTTTCAGAGCCAAATTCTCCCAAAGACACTGGGGTGCTTGGAGTCGAGGAAGAGAAGCTGTGACTTCTCTGGCCCCAAGCTGTCTCTCCTCAAGTGCAACACTCACTGCTACAGGCATGGAGGGGCTGTGGTTGTGGCCGTGTGCCCAGCACTCACCCCTGGCTCCCCCCAGCACGTCCCAGAGCACCCCAAGGGGTGGACCCTGCCCCGCTGCCAGCATCGCCCCGCCAGCGCCCTCCCTTCCCCCCAGCAGCCAAGAGGATGGTTGAGATGAAACATCTGCTGCACTCAGCTCCTTCCCCGTCCCTCCAACCCCTTCCTCCCGCTGGGCTGAGGTTTGAGCATTGCCATGGCAGCGGGGTGGCCCTGGCTGCCACCAGCCTTATATGGCCCCGTGCCGGTGCGACTGCCGGTGCGGTTAAGCCGACGGCCTGCCTGCCCTGTGCCTTCCAGCACCTTCCAGAGCTGCTTCAGCATCCCCAGGACAGACAAGCAACCTTTTGGTTGGCCCTAAAGTGCTGCCAGCCCCTGGGGAGAGCAGCGGAGCAGAGCTCCAGCCCTGCTGGGACGGGGACACCACCTGTGCCCCTCGCCTGGGGCTGTGCCAGCTCTGCTGGGTGTTACACAGGTGGTGTCCAAGCCAGAGGTGAGGACACTCCTGCCACAGGGAGGGTCACAGCCTGGAGCTGGGGTGATGCTGCTGGCCAGCCTGGGGGTGCAGCCAGAGTGTGGGGCTCCCCCCTGCAGCCCCAGAGCAGCACCAGCCAGGAAACCACAGACGCACCCAGGAAGCTGCAGCAGAGGAATGGCCATTTCACACAGAAAGAGGTAGCAAGAGCACAGAAACGTTCTGGCAGCTGATGCTCCACCTCCAAAAAACCCCTGTGCACCCCACTGCCCCCTGCACACCTCCACAACCCTGCTGAACCCTGCGGCCAGGGACGTGTTAAAAGCAGAAACCACTGCAATGATCTAATTGTCTGCTCTATTTTTAGTGCTGCCACTGATCCGGGCTGAAGTGAGACCCGGAGCTGGACGAGTGCCCAAAGGTGGGCGATGCCAACGGCCACGTGCACCCCCAGCCGTGTGCCAGGGAAGGGGGTGCAGAGCCACAGCAAGCAGGGCCAGCCTCCCCCCCCAGGACAGGCCAGTCCCTCTGCCCTGGGCACCTGGAGGCAGGATTTGGACCCAGGACGAGGGGGTGGATGGCGATGGCCAGGAAGCCGAGCGGATTTGAGGCTTCCTCCTCCTCCTCACACCCCTCATCTCATCACACCTCAGAGCAAGACAAAGCAGAGGTGTCACAGGGTGCTCGGAGCAGCCCTTTATACCCGCAGTGGGACAGGTACCACGCTGGTTTCCAGAAACATAAGTGCATACCAGCTCACCTGGTTGATGGAGATGGGCGTGTGGACCACCACCCCCCCCACAATCTCTGTTTTGTAGGCCACCTGGGGCTTCCTCTCCTGGGCCTGGGGGACCACCGGGGGCTTCGCAATCTCCGTGGCTGGTGGGACACTGCCGCTCCTTATGGCACCTGTGGGGAGAACAAAGGGATGAAGGGCAAGGGTGCAACCGCAGTCAAAGGCTCTTTTAGAGTGGGCAGCCGACGCTTTCACTGGGCCCCTGTCTCTGTCTAATGCAGAAACATCCCTTCAAAAAATAACACCTGAACAAGCACCCCAGTTAGGAAGGGTGTGGGCCCCCCTGGGCGGCTTGCAGGAGGCACCCAGATGGGAGATGAGAGGTGCTGAATGATTAAGCACCATCTCAGAGGCGCCTGCGATTCGCCTCTGCACCTCAGTGCCTTTGTGGGACACTTGCTCCTTTAATTGTCCCCGCTCCACTTACAGCCAGGCTTAATGAGGAGCTGGGTCTGGCTAACGAGGCTGAGCTGCACGTCCACAGCCGACAGCCGGGCGCTGCTGAGCCCCCCAGCCTGGCTGTGACCCTGCTGAGAGCAGCCCCACACCCCTGGGCACAGGCTGTGCTGCGGGGACCCGGCTCCCAGCACTGGCATCTTCCCTTTCCCCCTCCCAGCTCCTTCCCTCTGGCACCTGGCTCTGGACAAAAAGGCGTGTTTCCAACTTTCCCTTCCCGAGCCTGCACTTCCACTTCCTTACTGCCATTAGTGGGGTCCCTGGCTCCAAGCCACCCTCCTGCTTTCCCCCCAAAGCAGGGCAGAGTGGCAGCGTCACCCACATCCCAGTAGCCCTGAGTTTCCCAGCCAGCCTGTGACAACTCCTCCCTGCAGGGCTGGAAGAGCCGGTCGGCCAGCTGGGACACAGCCAGAGTCGGGAAGGGCTGGCCAACACCAGGGTATGGAAATCACCACAGTTTCTTGCAGAGGCAGAAGATGTATCTCATCTTCCCATCACCCCAGGTCCCACCTCTGCCAGCCTGGCAGACCCTCCACCCCCTCCAGGCAGCAACCCCTGAGGAAACTACACTGATGGTAGAGCCAGACACACAGCCTGGGCAGGCTCTGGTTACAGCTCTACCCAGCTCTGGAGGTGAAGGTCGTGGCCAATATCACCTGGACCCAGAAAGAGAAGGCACAAGCCACAGCCCCTGCAGTCTGGTGGCTGCAGGCACAGAGGTCTTTGCAGACAAAAAAAAGAAAATACAAGCCAGGTCTGATCTTGCAGGTGAGTTTGCCACAGAGGCTACAACATGGCACTCCAGGGATTTTAAAGAAAAATCTCATCTGATAGGCCCCAAACCTAAGCTGTTTACCGTGATTTTTCCTTGCCCTTGGTTTACACACCACAAACAACACGCATCAGTGCACCATCTAGCAGAACTCTGCTCGCATTAAGCATTGGCCCCACTGCTCACTGCAGCTCAGCAGAAACCCCCAACCCCTTCCCAGGGACCCCCCCATCCAGGTGCAGGGAGAAGTCATCCTGGAGCTCCCAACCCTGAGCCCCTGGAGCGGGCACTGCCAGCTGAGCATCACCCCCAGCCCTTGGAGGAGGCTCCCGTTCAGAGTGCAGCACATCCCCCATCACCGGGAGCCCCGGCAGCTGCAGAGCACAGACTGCACAGACTGCACAGGCTCTGCACAGGCTCTGAGAGCTGCTGGGTCAGTGACCATCAGTGCACGGCTCCCTGAGCACAGCAGCAGACGAGAGGAGATGGCAGATGAACCCCGCTGGATGCAGCACAGCCCGCCCCGCCGCTCCCCACAGCGCAGGGCACTCGCTGCGCCCCGCCACGAGACCCGGCATCCCAGGAAGAATAAAAATGGAGTAAATAAGTTATTGAAGCACAAGAGAGACGCCCTTTGACAGCCACAGTGAGGAGCTGGCTGGGCTGGATCCCAGTCAGCAGGAGCAACAGGAGGGAGAGGGCCCTGGAGCAGGCGGGGATGGGGACAGCTCCAAGACTGGAACCTTCCTGGGGCGCAGCCGCCGTCCCCCACAGCTGGGCTGGGAGGGTGAAGAAAGACACACCCAGTAAATCCCAACCAGGAGGATCCCTGGGGATGGTGGAGGCAGCATCTGAGAAGAGCATTAAGTGACCTACCGTGATCTTACTGGCCCGGTTCAGCGCCTCCACCCAGTCCTGCAGATCCTTCTGATCGCTGGCTTGCAAGAAATAGCGCTGGGATAGAGCGTTGATAACTGCCAGGGAAGGGAAGGACAGGGACAGTTGGCAGCAGCCAGGAGGGCTCACGGCCCATGCCACAGTCTCTCGTGGCAGGGTGTCCCCTCACAGAGCCCACCAGGGTCCCCCTCAACTCACCAAAGCAGAACGGAGTTTTCGGCTTCTGTTTCGGGGTGGCGACGCTGACCTGTGACAGAGCAAATCGGGGACAAAATTAGAGATAACAGCCCATGTTCATGGGGGGCAAGAGAGCTGGAACTTTCCACCCACCCACCCCGCTGCGTGCCACTGCCGGGCACTGCGCCCAGCCTGGGCTCTGCCCCCCTGGGCAGGACCCCCTGTGCCCCCTGACCCATGAGGTGCAGCACAGCTGTGCCAGCTGTTGGGAGCTGGCCCGTGTCAGAGTAACAGCGAGCACAGGCAGCAGCGGGCGCAGGGTCCCAGGGGAAGGTCAGCACGGAGCCAGGACTTTCATCCCCCACGTCCCCCCCGGCACCGGCAGCGCTGCACAGCAGAGCACAGAGAGCTTTCAAAGGCCCCGGAAACATGAGTTCTTCTGGACTAACACAGTTGCTCTTGTCAGCAATTAAGAAAATTGAGGGAAAATAGCAGTGGTTTCTGCCTAAAGAGTAGGAATCATTTATATAAGAATAATATTCCTTGGGGCTCCAAGCACAGCATTCATGGAGTATTTATTCTGACAGCCCTCCTCCATCAGAGCCAGTCCATAATGCTTTAAATATGTTTTCTCAAGCAAACCTCCATTTTTCTGGTATATTTACTGTTGGTAGTTCCAGCTGCTGGCAGAACCCAACCACGCAGCTTGTGACCAAATGCTGTCCTGCAGCAATTTTCATTTAAACTAAAACCTATATAATTTGTAAGTGAGGCTCTTTCCGAAATGGGGAAGGCTCAGCCTCCCGGCGTTGCTTCATCTGTGCTTAATTTATAAATCATGATTCAGCAAGAACAGAGAGATCTGTCCAATTCTTTATCCGGCTCCAGGATAAAGCCGAGCTGAGCCCGGCGTGGCAGCCACGAGCCCCCCACTGCCCCCACAGCGGCCGAGGGGCCACTTGCAGGAGGAGGACAGTGCAAGCTCCACTCTCTGCACTCGCAGCCACGGCTCCACGTGTCTCACTCACTGGTCCTGCAACAGTTGTCACTTATTGCACTATTTCTGCCTTCTCCTGGAGGCCGAATAACACTGTTAAGACACACAAAAGTGAGTTTCCAGAAGGTCTTGTCCTTCAGAGCGCTGCCCTCTGAGCACAGGGGAGAGCTCCTGGTGCACCACGGAGCCGACTGCCAGCTCCATGTCCAGCTCATGCCGACGCCATGCTCCTGTCCCCACTTGTCCCTGGCTGCCCCATGTCCTTCCTCTTCCTCCTGCAACCCGACCTCGCATCCTGTCCCACGCTAGTCCACGGTTGAAGGTGAACACGGTCCCAGTGCTGGGATCCCTGTGCTGTGGAGACTCCCTGCTTCCCACAGCCCTGCACAGGCTCCATCCCAGGGAGCTTGTCACGAGCTCAGGCAGGACCAGGACCTGGCCCCGGGTGCTTCCAGGGCAAGCCATCGCCTCTCCTGGGAACGCCGCGTGGATAAGGGGATAAGAGGGAGCATTCACCTTTCCCTCCGCCCCACCCCGACATTACCTTGGAGATATAGGTCAGCTGCAGAGATCCCACAGCACCCGCTCCGATGGCCAGGTTCTGCAACACAGGAATGAGCAATGGGAGGTAAATGACAGGGAGGAGGCGGCAGGGGCGAGCCAGGCTCTCGTTTGTGTCCTCGGGGTCAGGCAGCAGCCTCGGCCGCTTCCCTCCCTGTGCCCTGGTTCAGCTCAGACCCCCCAGCAGCAGGACCAGCCCTGCTGTGCTGCACCCCAGTGCTGTCCCCACCTCGGCACAGTCCTGGAAACCACAGAGGTCACAGAGGGGCTGGAGCCTGGTCATGGCCACACTCAGCCACAGGACACCCCAACAGACAGCACACACTGCAGGCAGTGACCTTCAGGGACCTGGGGGAGATGCCTCTACCAGGGAGGCCAGGATGTGCCTACAGACTCACTGACAACTTCCACAGACGTGCCCAGCACATGAGCCTACCTGAGGGTTGTCCATGTACCACAGGAGGTGGTTGGCCTGGGTGTCCAGGATAAAATACCTCCGCAGAAACTTGCCACAGGTCTCATTTTCTTCAATGTCCAGGAACCCGCAGATACGGTTCTGTCGGTCCAGGTACGGCATGCCGGGTTCCTTCTGGCATCACCCTGCGGAGCGAGGACAGGCAGGGAGAGGTGGGTGCTCTGCTCCCACAGCCCCAGCTTTCCAGGGAGCTGCTCCCACACTCAGAGCCATCCCAACCCCTTGGAGCCAGATGTGCCAGGATGCCAGCGCAGTCACTCAGCCACATCTGAGCTCACCAGAGGGAGAGGAAAGGGATAACCTACCAACCCATCACTCAGCCCCAAGAGCCACCAACCCCCAGGACAGAGGACAAAGTAGCCACAAAGGATCTGACGTGAGACACCAGATCCCTGGGAACTGTGGCAAAAAGTAATCCCGAAGCAGACTGTGCGCTAGAGAGAGCCCGAGCACACTCCCAGGAAATGGGAAACAATCTGCAACTCCAGCAGAAAATCTGTGCAGGCAGGATGCCGAGTCAGCAGGGCAAACAATGACCCATCACAGCGGGGCCACACCGTGCCCCCAGGTCTGCCACGGGCATGGGCCCTCCCTGGCACTGTCCCCTCCCTGGCACTGTCCCCTCCCTGGCACTGTCCCCCAGCCAGGGGGGTCTCCCCCGAGCCTCCCCCTGGGCTGCAGCAGGAACACCTGTTCACTTCTATTCACTTCCAGCCCCACGCAGGGATTGGAAGTGGCACTGAGAGCCACGGGTGGGTGGGCAGGACACGTCCCAGCGCCCGGGCAGAGCCCCCCATCCACGGGGCAGGGTGGAGGGAAGGGCTGGGGGCGGCCGTTACCCAGAGGATGAGAGCGAAGCCGGTGTGGTTTGTCTGGCAGGAGAGGGGTGATCACGCAGGTGCCAGAAGCGGAGCCACACAAATAAAAGATCTCATGCAGAAAAGGAGGAAATACTATTTTTGAGCTGCAGTGGAGTGGGGCCCGAGGAGGCAAGGGTTGTGCAAGAGCTGGGGTGCAGCTGCAAAGGTAGAGGAGGCAGAACACAAGTCAACCTGCTGTCAGGACCTCAGTTCATCACCAGTGTTCCAGAGATGGGTATTGGGGCTTGGCTCAAGGGGAACTGTGCTGCTGCAGGGGGAGAGGTTGGTTTAGCCCAGCACGGGTGCCCCAGTGCGAAGGTTTATGTGGGGCACTTCGTGTCTCACTGCTTTTTTGTGGGGTTATTTTTGTGGTGGGGAAGCACGTGGAAAGCCAGTTGCCGGGTGCCTTCAACCACACCAACACATTCAGAGCAAGCCTCATAAACTCTCTCTTCCTTCTGCTGATAATAAAAGTCCAGACATTTCTGCTTAGGAGAGGGATGAGGATAAGCAGAGTGTGGCACAGGCAGTGCAGGGATGAGCCCTGAGCCCCCAGCCCCATGGGACCCCTGATGGGACCCCCTAGGTCCCTCCCCTGCCATCCTTCATTACCACAGGCTCGTCTGGGACCCCACAAAACAGCTCAGCCCTTCTGTGCACACTGACCTCAGGTTGCACTTGAATGTGCACAAACCTCTGGGCAGAGGAGACAGGGACTGCCCTACACTCAGCCCCCAGCCTGCCCCTCACATCCCACAGGACACAACTGGTCTGTGTTCTTGGGGCCACCGAGAACTTCACTTTTCCATAGGAAAAGGATAAAACTAGCATTTCCAGCTCTGCTAACACATCAGTCCCTCTGCTCAGGAGGGCCAGAACTCCAGGAGGGCCATAAAATGCTCAGTTCTCACCAACATTGACTATTTATACAGCACTTTGTAAATTCCAACTCATAAATAATAAATATTTCTATGTGAAACCCAAACAGAAAAGGAGCATCATTTAAAAGTGTGGATGAGCCCCTGAAGGCGTCAGAGTGAGGAGGAGCTTCAGCTTCTGAGGACATCCCATATGGAAACATGATGGACATAACACTGGCACTGGGGGCAACGATTTATGGATGATGCTCACCCTGATTCACAGAGGCTGATCTGCCACCCAACAACGACAAACTTTCTGAGCATTACATGGAATCCAACCCTCAGGAGCTCATTACCAGATCCTGCTTAGGAATGCATGCCATCTCCTAGTGAAGCACATCAGAGGGTGTGCACTACCAGGACTCCTTCCTACCTCTGAAGCAACCAACTTTCGAGCTTTTTCAGTCCTAATGTCCCAATAAAAAAGACACCCCTTTCCTGACGCAGTGAACAAGATGGCAAATAGTTAGTCTGTAGAAGTTTACAGCAAAACACTCTGGGGATGTGCTTCCCAGGGAGAGGCAGGAGGAGCAGGGCACAGTCCACACAGCACCCAAGTCCCCTCTGCGGCCACGGGTGGCTCAGAGGCCTCGTGTGCAGCCACACAGCCAGACTTTCCGGGAAGAAGCCCAGGACACCAGGACTCCACCACACCGTCACGGCTGCTCGTGCCCTGCTCTGTCCTGCTCCCAGCACAGCTGCAGCCACAGGAGTGACCCAGGGACACTCTGCTGCAGGAAAACCCGAGGCAACGGGAGACCCGACATTTGGAGCATCACAGCTGCGCTGCCAGAGCCATCTCCCCGGCACTTCACTCCACAGCACCCATCACACCTGAGGGCAGCCACTGCATCCTCCTCCTCCTCCTCCTCCTCTCTCGCGCCTGTCTGCCCGAGCTGCCCTGGTAGCGGCTGGGGTGCAGGAGGACCCCCCGTTTCGGAGGGCTGGGAGCTGCGATGCCCGGTGCCCCACTGCCCCACGAGCTGAGCCGCAGCCGCGGCAGCTCCACTTCCTCCGACTGCTCTTGCAGAGCAGCTCCAAGAGCTCGCGCGGCGACGTCTGTCCCGACCCGCGAGACGGACGGGGCAGGCAGAGCCCAGCAGCTCGCTCCTGCTAATTCCAGACGTTTGCCTTAATGGAATGATTAACCTGTTGGGAGCAGGCTGGGAGCAGCCAGGATACAGCTCTTTATCTGGCCACGAAGAGTCGGGGAGCAGAGCAAATAGCTGCAGATCCCTGATCCCCGCCGCACGTTTGCTTCCAACCCCACAGACTCTCGGCGGCGATGGTGCCCACAGTACTCCCG